GTTGTATCCCCTGTTAAGGTGTAGTTCCCAATTTCCCTCAAGGGTTTAGGCTAGGGTGAAGGATTCTTTATGAATTTGAACTACATAGACAATACAGACATTTTAATTTCACATTTCAATTGTCTAGTCTCCAGAATTTTATGCTTTGAATTTTCATTCCATTCAATTGTATCTTTATCTCCAAAAAACAATATCATTTAAAGATACTGTAATCATATCTGAGTAGGCCAAAAATCTTTATAATCACTTTACGCAAATGCAGCAATATATATGTAATCTTGTGAAGTTGACATTTCTATTTCAATACCAAAGGATGTAGGAAGACTTACTGGGAATTTTTAAAAATTATAATATAACTTTTGTAATGATAAGAATAACATTTTGTATTTCTAATAGTTTTTCAACAAAGGGTCTACAATTTTGAAGAGATAGTGTTGAGCTAGAACTAGTTCAGTTGTTGACATTATTAAATCCTTTTTTGAGATTTTAGATCAAAGTTTTCAAGTATCATTACTTAACATATTTGTGTGTTTTTTCCAAAATATTACTTTTAAAAATGGGATACAATTTCTATGACACATTCTTTTAATATCTCAATTATGCAAAAATATCCACATGGACCAAATTCCAACCGTTTTCTATTATATTCATATAATATCAAACATGCTGACACCTTAGTCTGTTATACACAAAATCAATAATTCACCAAGGAGATATATGCTTTCACAACAAATGTTCAGTACTGTTTTGGTGGCACAGCAACACAGCTTACCTCTTTTAACAAAAATTTCTAGTTTTCCAAAAAATGTATGCAGTATTTGAAAAATTTCATCTGTAAAAAAATTTTGTATAATTTCTATTATCCACTGAGAATTTGTCTTGTGTAGGTTTATATATAAATAAGTTTTATATAATGGCATAGTATAATATATAACAGAAGTCATACAGTGATATGCAATGCCCTCTTATCTTTCTTTCAGACTTTAAAAAAGACTCACCTTAATAATTTGGATTTAAAGGATAAACAAGTAGAAAATTTAGGAAGAGCACTAAAATCACTTGAAGACATAAATTGGTCTAATTAAATGAAACTATGGGAATTGGCTTCCAAATTATTTGGAAAGGTCTCAAATCTTCTTCAAACTGTTTAAAAAGAATGAACTTTCAGTCCTGTTTACTTAATTATGAACAAGTCAAATATTTAAGAAAAGTTTTTAAAACTGCATAATACTGGAAGATTCAAAAATCTGTAATAATGAAATTTCAGCATTCATGCTTGATGATTCCCAGACAGTTGACCCTAATCAGGACAGTTGATTCCATGACAATTATTGATTTTAAGGTCTATTATTATAATTTACATGGTACAAAAAATTGCATGCAAGTTATGAGTAATTCTTTGAAT